ACAAAAGGAGTGTTTTATTTCAAAGGACAAAGGTATATTAACCTGCAAAAAAAAGTTCAAACGAAATATATCATTATTAAGTATTTTGAAACATAAAAGTATCAAGAAACTCTCAGAAACAAACTGACTGTATGAAAAGAAAATTGTATCTTTGTTGAACAAATATTACTTTGCCAATGTATTTCATTACATTCAGATGTAAAAGATAAAAACTACTAGCTCTATTTTAACAGAAATTATTAGCTACTGCTAATGAAATTTTTTACCTTCAGTATAATTTTGAGGTCTAAAAGTCTTTGTTATTAATTCATACATGTACATTTCATGTTATGAAATGGTACATTTTGGTTTTTATGCTAAATTCATGCAGTAAGTTGTGTCAATGACCATGAAAAAAAACCCGTCCTATTTCATACCCAATAACTGAAATCTTGAACATTTTCGGTAGTTTTGTATGTCAACTCTTGATGAAAAAAAAACTGCATGAAAAATGCTATCGAACATTGAGCACAAAGACAGAAATTCGGCCCTGGATACAATATCGAATATAATATTTATGAATTACTGTAATGTATTTCACAAAAAAAGTTCAGTGCTATATTAAACAGTGTTAAGGGTATAGACAGATAACTGGAATTTCTAATTTTATGCATTTGTAGAACACAGAAAAACATATTTTAACAAAACAACATACTTTCAAAATTTTTGTGACAATGAGATTTTTATTTCATTAGCAGTAGCTATTCTGATATCGGCATGAAAGTTAAACTGTATAAAACGGAAACTGCGTGACATCTGGCGCAGCGTTGTGTTTGCCTTTTTTCAAAAATGCGTTTTCTCAACTTCCACACGTAATGTGTGTACTTTCACTTTAGTTTCCAAGTTGCGACTCTTGTCCAGCTCTCATCCTCTCGGTAAGCATGTTTTTATGCAAAACAATTACTTGCCACTATATAAATATTTATCTGAGATGTCCCTAAAACATATAAAACCACTGACGCACGAAAATATTAAGTGAGCAAAGCACATAGATTGCCCTAATGACTAATGTCATAATGTGTTGAATTATCGACGTATTTAAACAGATTTGCTGATTGCGAGTTTTCAAACATTTATAATTTTCTAAATTAATATAGAATCTTTATAATATTTAGAGAACTTTCTGCGAGGGCATGAAAATAAATAATCTGACTCGACAAAATTTGCCACCCCCCTGTCAGAATCGAATGGTCATCCCCCGAGTCATATGATATTATACATTTTAAATTAGGGCCTATTAACTTCTTTATTGAAAACATTTATAAAATTGAAAAAATAAATTCAATTTAAAATTATAAAGTAAATTTAATGTATACTCCTTGTATACACACAACATCCTTTTCATGCGCAGATTTTTTTTTTGGGGGGGGGGGGGGGTCCACATCAACTGCCTATAATGGTGTAATCCCCCAGTTATTCTGATATTCCTTCTCAACCCATTGTTCATGGGAGGAACTCCAGACCTCTTCTACTTTTCTAATTTCTCCTGATATTTCAATTCTTAGGGACAACCTTGTGGTGGTGCGGGGGTGGTGGGGTTGTTCCATGATCTATGTCTGCTTTTGCACATAGATCACTCGTAATAGCTAGCAGAAAGTGTGAATTTGTGAGGTTTTTATGAAATATTATTAGGGATCCATCAATCCAAAAGATATGAACATTTCTATCAAAATATTAAAATATGGTAATCATATTTATTTTGTTTTGAGAAACAAACTCCAATTTAGTTCATTATTTTAAACAGACTATATACTCCCTTTAATGACTATACTCACGCAGTCATTCTTGATTTTGGTAATAAGTGAATTTGACTTTTAATATGATCCAGATGATAAAGTTCTTGGAAAAAAAAGTTATGTTTGATTTTTTTTCCTGTAGAAATTCCATGATGTCTGATACTGAAAAAGGCATAGAGGAATTTCAAGCTGATTTACAATCCCAGGATTCCAACCTTGTTCCCAGCATTCCAAATCCTGACTTAATCAAAGAGGATCTAGGTCTTTGTGATGTGTCAGAGAATTTTGCTTCACCTGAAAGCCTGCAGTTGGACAATGGGGGCTCCCAGACAACAAGTTTAGATGACAGCAAGTCTGGAATAGAAAATATTCTAGGGTAAACATTAGAGAGTGTGCATTTTTGAGGGTTTTGTGAACTATCATAAAGAGTCCATTATTAACAGTCAGGGGTGAGACTGAAATCTGTCATTTCTGAAAAATGATGGATAATCGTCATATTTACTAACTACGTATTTTCGTCATTTTTGTCAATATGACTTACTATCGTCATATTTTCTTTTTCAACTTAATTCTTCTATCCTGGTTACAAAAAAGCGAAATTTGAATTCACCGCTGAAAGAAGAGTGTTTACGCAAGTTTCATTTCATCCGGGTCACTAATTACTGCCGACCACGTGCGTTAGAACATCAACATGGAAGGTGAAGGTTATTATTTAGCGGTAAAATGTCGAATTTTGGTAGAACTAATTCGCCATTTTTACATGGCTTTTAAACCTATAAAAACATATAGTACACCATCTGGAAGAATACATACTTGTAGAGAAAAGTCTCGACAAAAAGTTAAAGCCATAAAAAAGTAGTGCGCCCCGTAAAACAAGCGAGATATTTCAGTGCGCCCAGACCCTCCATTTTGAAAAAAGACGGCATATCGTCATTTTCGTCTTCTTTCCTATTTAATGCAAATAAATTGACAAATAACTCTTCCACTCTTATTTTTGCTTGGGAAATTTGTACTGTCGACATAACCAGTATTGTAGTCAACTGAATTAGAGAAATGAAGTTTGTTTACGATGTTTTTTGTCCTTTTTTCGGTTGGTGGATTTAACATTTTTCAAAGAGAGGTAACTCGGTATTCTAGAAACACTCTAAATTTTTATGACTGTTTTTCGTCATTTTCTTAAAAATGACGAGTTTAAGTCATAATAAAAATTTTATTTTATGACTAAAAATCGTCATTTTAAAAATGACGGATTTCAGTATCACCCCTGACTGATTAAGAAATTAAGATAGGATCATCAAGTTTAACAAGAAGTCTGTGAGCGAATGCTCACTAGTAATACCCCCACTCTGATGTGAATATACGGTTACCCTCTCATGTTGACGTCAAAATTATTTTTAAAAAATGAATCCCACCATTTGGTATGCCTAAATAAAGATTATGCTAAAATTTCAAGCAATTTCGCTGAGTAGTTGCAGAGAAAACTGTGACGGAAATTTGGTACAGACAGACGCTTGGATAAACAGGAAGTTGACATCAGATTTAAAAAAAAAAGAATCCCACCATATGGCCTGCCTAAACAAAGAGTGTGCTAAAATTTCAAGCATCTGTGATGAGTAGTCGCTAAGAAAACTGCAACGAAAAATTTGTTATGGACAGACGCACGGATAAACAGGAAGTTGATATCTAATTCATATAAAAACAAATCCCACCATTTGGCATGCCTAAACAAAGATTGTGCTAAAATTTCAAGCATCTTCGCTGAGTAGTTGCTGAGAAATATGCGATGGAAATTTGGTACTGACAGACACACAGATAAACAGGAAGTTGACATTGGATTTGAACAAAAATGAATCAGACCATATGGCATGCCTAAACAAAGATTGTGCTAAAATTTCAAGCATCTGCGCTGAGTAGTTGCTGAGAAAACTGCGACCAAAATTTGGTTTATGTATGGTACAGACAGATGCATGGATTGACAGGAAGTTGACATCGGATTTGAACAAAAATGAATCCGACCATATGGCATGCCTAAACAAAGATTGTGCTAAAATTTCAAGCATCTGTGATGAGTAGTTGCTGAGAAAACTGTGACGAAAATTTGTTACGGACAGACACACAGACACACGTACACACAGACAGACAGACACACAAGGGTAAAACAGTACACCCCCTCTCCTTCGGAGTGGGGGTATAATAATTATATTCCTATCCAAAGGAGAGGGGGTATACTGATTTACCCTTTTGTGTCTGCCTGCCTGTGTATCTGTCTGTAACAAATTTTCATCACAGTTTTCTCGGCAACTACTCAAGGCAGATGTTTGAAATTTTAGCACACACTTTGTCTATGCAGGCCATATATTGGGACCCATTTTTGTACAAATTCATCATCAACTTCCTGTTTATCTGTGCATCTGTCCATACCAAATTTTTCATCACAGTTTTCTCAGCAACTACTCATCGTAGACACTTGAAATTTTAGCACCCTCTTTGTTTAGGCATGCCATATAGTGGAATTTATTTTTGTACAAATCAGATGTCAACTTCCTGTTTATTCATGTGTCTGTACCAAATTTCCATCGCAGTTTTCTCAGCAAATACTCAAGGCAGATGCTTGAAATTTTAGCACACTCTTTGTTTAGGCATGCCATATGGTGGGTTTCATGAGAGTGTATATTCACATCAGAGTGGGGGTATTACAAGTGAGCATTGGTTCACAGACTTCTTGTTTATTTTTTTCTCATGAATAAAGTCCATATTTCAAGCATCTATATAGTGCTCCAATTTTGAAGGATGTCCATATTCTATATTCTCCTTCTTTAATTCATACAGTCATTCTTGAAATAATAATGGAGCTTGCATTTATACTTTTAATTTTCTTGTTCTAGATTAATATGATATCTTTTCTGGGTTTTTTTCAGTAGAAATTCCATGATGTCTGATACTGAAGAAGGCATAAAGGAATTTCAATCATCCACTGGTGATTTACAATCCCAGGATGTCAACCTTGTTTCTAGCATTCCAAACTCTGACTTCATCAAGGAGGAGCCAGGTCTTTGTGTTGTGTCGGATAATTCTGCTTCAGTTGAAAGCCAGCAGCTGGACATTGGAGGCTCGCAGACAGCAAGTTTAGATGACAGCAAGTCTGGAGTAGAAAATATACCAGAAAATGAGAAATGTTCTGAACTTGGTAATGAGGCTTTTGATGAATCCCACAATCCTAATCTTGTTTCAGGAGATGAAATAATTCCTGAAACTAAAATGGAATTAGGCAATGGTGTTATTGATTCTAACCAAACTGCTTCAAATGTATCTGAGAAGATTCTTGCAGTTCAGCGTGTTGAACCAGAGCTTAAACATGATTTGGATAATGGAATATCAGATGACAAAGAGGAAAGACATTCTAAGAAAACAAAGAAGATAGTCCGTACTGTTGAGGATCATCTTCTGATACTAAAACAGATGAAAGCTAGCACAATGTACTCAGATTTGATCTGTCCTGTGTGTGAAGACATTCTCTCTGATCCATTATTTCTGGATTGTCTACATTCCTTCTGTTCTCACTGTATAACAGTCGAGGAGCAGAAAGTAAAGTGCCCAGTATGCTTCACTGAAACTAGCCTTCCTAGTGGTGATATAAGTCTACTGCCAAAAAATACAGTTCTGGCATCCCTTGCAGTGAAGAAGAAAAATTCTGGAAGCAAAGTTTGTGAAGTTTGCAAGCTTATGGAGAAGGAGGCTGAGGCTAAAGGCTTTTGTGTTGAATGCAAGGACTATCTGTGCCAAGACTGCTGGAATGGTCACAGATTTACCAAGTTTACACTTAATCATGAGGTGATATCCTTAGAAGGAGCCTCTGAAGAAGAATTGGATAAACAGTGTAGAGAGCAGACGGAACATTCCAACTGTAGTACACATCCTGGTGAAGGACTCAGGTATTACTGTAAGGGTTGTGAAGTGAAAGTTTGCACTGACTGCATTCTCCTGGATCACCAAAACCACCCATGTATCTCCATCCAAGAAGCATTTGAGAAACAGAAGAGAAAATTGGACCTGTTGCTGAAAGGTGTGGATGTTCAAATTCAAAAGATACGGTCAGAAGATTTTGAATCTGAAATAGTTGCAGCAGAACAGGCAGAGGAAGCTGAGGTTGAAAAAATCAAATCAGCTGTCGAAAAGATTATCCAGGACTTACGACAGCAAGAGAGAGAAGCTATTACCTGTGTGCAACAAAAGTTTAAAAGTCTGAAAGGTCAAGGTCAGAAGAGACAAATTTCAGCACAGGAACTGCTTTATCATTTAAAAGAGGCCAAATCTATTTGTGGTCACCTATATGCATTGTGTAACAGTGAGGAATTTACAGCTCTGGAGAAGATATTTTACAGAAGACTTATGGGCATCCTTAATAAAATTGTCATCCCAGAACCTCTGTCTTGGTTTAAACCTCCTTCTGTTGAATTAGATCCATTGCTGAAGAATGAATGCAAACTAAAGCCACTTTTCAATGTATGTAATTCCAGTAAGTGCCATGATTGGACAGAGGACATGCCGTGTGTTGCAACCCTAAAGAAATTGCGTCAGGACAGAGAATTGTGTGAAAAGGTAGGACATCCAGAATGGTTTATACATGAGAGCAGGCTTTCCCATGAAGAATTAAGCAATATGCCTATGACAGATGAGAATCTAGATGATTTTATGAGGATGGGTGTAACGGACACAGTAAATTCTGTATCCACACAAAGTGAGAGTGGGAGCACAGTAAATTCTGAGAATTATGAGGATATGGGGGCCAAGCCCAAAACCACTCCCCCCAAAAAGAAACGTGGGCGAAAGAAGAAGAAAGCAGCACTCTCCATGGAAAACCTCTCACAACAGGGACAGATGCCAGATGGAATGATGTCTGGAAGATATGACTCAGATTTCTATGATACATCTATGTATGGACAAATTCCAGAGTACACAGGAATGCAGGGGGTATATATTGATCCTTCTCTTTATCCATCATTCCAGATTCCAAGGGCTGGTTACTTTCCTAGTGCAGGGTATTTGATGAATTCTGCAAGTCTGAATTCACTTACAAATATTTCAAAGAAAGATAAGGTTGCTAATACTATGCCACAACAAGCAAGCAACCCTGTGAAGGCTCAAACCAAAACCTCTAAGGAAAAGGCAAAAGCAAAACCCAAACCTGCAACTGAAGATACTAAAGGCAAGAAAGCAAAGCCTGCACAAGTCAGGCCTGTTCAGTCAACTGTGTCCATAACTCCAAAATGGAGACTTGATACAAAATGCTCTGATGATAATGATGTTCCCTTCCTTACATCAGTACACCCAATACAGAATAATAAATTGGTTGTTTCTGACAGCAGTAATCACAAGATAAAGATGTTCTCCATTGAAGGACATTTTATCAAAGCCTTTGATGCCATTAATCCCACCAGTGTTGTCTTTGTATCTGGAGTGTTAGTCTGGACGTCTGGACACACTGTTGTCATCAAGGAACAGAATGAGGAATTTGAGAAAGTCATCAACTTTCAGAAGGACTCCATCCCTCATCCACTGTCCTGGTATCCCCAGAGCCATTTTGTTGTTGCCTGTGGGAACCACCTGCGAATTTACCATGTGGACAAGGAAAAACAGAACTTCACCAAGAAGAGTCAGCTCTCGTTTGAGCTTCCAAAGCAGAAAAAGTTGTCCAACATCTTCTCTGTCAGGGCCAATGGTAATGGCAAGAGTATAGTGATGACTGACTGGGATTTGAAGGCAGTGGTGATTGCAGATAATGAGGGCAAGGTCACAGGTAAATATAGTAGCAGTTTTCTACTCCGTTACTGATAATGTTAATGTAATAAGAGTAGATTTGACTTAAAAAGTAGGAACAGAAATTTAGAAAATAGACAAACTGAAAGTAGCAGTAGTATGAGAACATCATCTTTTTATTAATATGATGGTAAATCTTTGGCATTTAATCAAATTTTTTGTAAAATTTGAAACACCATGAGCAAAATATATCTCCTTAGATGTAATAAATGAAGTTTACACAGATGTAATTATCAGAGTTAACATGTTATCTAATTTCAGATATGTATACTGGAGATCGTGGAAATCCATGGTACCCAGGTGGGGCATGTTTTAATAATGCTGGTGAAATTTTCACCCTGGACTACACACATGACCGTCTGCTTCTACTGAACAGTGAAGGTGAGCTGCAGCAGGAATGGAACACAGCTCCCACCATTACCAAGCCCTGGTCTGTGGTCTGTGGAGCCTCCAAACAGCTATTTATAACGGGGAGTGACCACTACGTACATGTCTACCAGTATTCTTATGATGACCAGGCTGCTTCATCTACACAGTAAGACTGCATTCATATCAGCTTGAAGGAATATACATAGGAAAGACAGGTGGAGCATTGAAAAATGTTAATTTTGGGATTAGTATCAAATTTTGAATTATTTTTGGGAAACAATTATTGTATTCACAAGATAGGATTTTTTGAATAGAAACATTCAATTTACTTTAAGGACAGATGATACAAAGAAACTTTTGTCAAAAATCTTGAAAATAACAACTTAAGTCATGTTCAAAGGAGTAAACAAATAACTTTAACTGAGTAGATTTTCATTTTTAGCTCACCTCAACGAAGTTGGGGGAGCTTATGTAATACCCTCGGCGTCGGCGTCCCAGGTTAAAGTTTTTGGAGCAGTTTTCTTTTCAAGTACTTCTATGGCCTATATTAGTCAGAGATGCATGGAGGATGCTTCTAGTGTGTTTCATTGTACCAGTCAAGGTTTCAGATGCTGCAATTTCAGCTAAAGAATTACCAGGTTAATGTTTTTGGAGCAGGTTAAAGTTTTTGGAGCAGGTCTCATTTCCAAGTAACTATAGGCCCTATATTGACCAAACTTGCATGGATGATACATCTAAGGATGCACACTACTGAACTTGCTTCGGATGCTGGATCTGACCTACATTTTCTGGAGGAGTGACTAGGTTAAGGTTTTTGGAGTAGATCTCATTTCCAAGTAACTATAAGCCCTGTACATGTATTGACCAAACTTGCATGGATGATACATCTAAGGATGCACACTACTGGACTTGCTTCGGATGCTGGATCTGACCTACATTTTCCGGATGAGTAACCAGATTAAAGTTTTTGGATCAGATCTCATTTCCAAGTAACTATATAAGGCCTATCCCAGCCAAACTTGCGTGGATGATGCATCAAGGGATGAACAATCTCAAAACTTGCTTTGGATGCTGGATTTGACTTACATTTTCTGGATGAGTGACTAGTTTTAAGTTTTCAGATAAGTCTATTCCTAAGTAACTGCAAGCCCTATCAGACCAAAATTGCATAAATGTTGCATCTAGGGATGCACACTCTTAGATTATTAGTTTAGTGTGGGACTTTGCCTTACTTAAAGACAACATTCGTTGAGGTGAGCTCTGTAATCTCTGATTACCTATGTTTCATTCAAAGTTTTACAATAACTGGATTGAAAGTGACGAAAATTTGTATAGATTAATAAGGATGGATGCAGAAAGTTTGAATTTTGAACATCATAGAAAGTTTACAATTTCTTGATATTTCAGAAATTTATTTTTTGCATCATTTACAACCAAAATAGGTCCAAAAATATATACCAATCCAGGTATCCATTTTTTTGTTTGTATCATCTGTCCTTAATCATACAATAGATAAGGTTAATTATTTTCATTTCTGTTTTGGTTTCATTGATTTCAATAGAAGAGTAAATAATACACACCCGGTGAAATGTAAACTGTTTTTGTAAACAGGACATGAGCTCTATTATTGTTAATGTTTACGTTTCACTGGGTGTTCAGTTTGTTAAATTCTGCACACATCACTGAGCACAGACTGACAGTACTGTTGAGTTGGTTTTGCTTTCTCACATTTCTACTCTGAATTTTCTGGATTATAGTTTTAATATTTTTCATTAATTCACAACAAAATTTCTACTTTTCTTGAGTTTAAGGATAAAGTTTACTTTGTGAAAGTGCAAGAATGGGTCAATCAAACGTGTCCCGAAATTCGTAGTTTCAATAATTTCCAGATAAAATAATTTTTTTTGTATATTTCCGTGTGAAATGCTATAGCAACATATAAGTCATGATATAATACAGAAAATTTGAGAAAATATTAACTTCAAATCTGTGTCTAGGCCCCTTTAAAGAAAAATTTGAAAACTATAATCCAGAAAGTTCAGAGTAGAAATGCAACTCACAGTATTGTCAGTCCATGCTCAGTGATGTGTGCAAACCAAAGAAATTGAACACACCCGGTAAAACACATAACAATAACAGAGCTCGTGCCCAGTGTTTACAAACACAGGTGTTTGACATGAAGTTATGACGAATGTCGTTGTCATTGAATTCTTAGAATTTTCATGTAAGTTCAAATTATTAAACTGAATAATTTTTTGAATGAAAATAGACATTAAAATTGTGAACAATGCAACTGTGTCCAGGCCCCTTTAAGTGGAGTAAAATTCACATCCGTCTGACTGTAAAAAAATTCAAAGTGCTGCATGTTCTATTGTATATGCAGAGCTGAATAAAACCCATCATGCATGTAGACTTCACCAATACTTGTACACTGTTTTTTTTTGTTTATATCAGTGTTGCAACTGTTTTAATGTGGAATACTTTCAACTATTTCAAAATGTCCCTCCTGCTACAGTATTATTGAATCTGCATTAAAACTGGTACAATTGTAGACGAGATTAAAGTGTATGTCTGAATATATCAATTTTAAATATTAATTGCCAGTGTTTTCTTAGAATGAAATAGCCTGTTTTTTTGTTTTTTTTTTATTTAATACAAATTGATACAGTTTTTAGCTCTACTGGTCAGAGACCAGAAAAGCTTATGCGATAGTAAGGTGTCCGTCCGTCTGTCTGTCTGTCTGTCCGTCTGTAAACAATTTTTCAAAATGCTACTCCTCCTACAGTTTTGGTCTGATTTCAGTATAACTTGGCACACAAGTAGACTACACTAAGATACATAATTCTGTGTATCAGTTTTTGATTTCGATGAACGGTGTTGCCATGGTTACTAAAAATAGAAATTTCTGTGAAATACTTTCAAAATGCTACTCCTCCTACAGTTTTTATCTGATTTCAATATAACTTGGCACACAAGTAGACTATACTAAGATGCGTAATTCTGTGTATCGGTTTTTGATTTCGATGAACGATGTTGTCATGGTTACTAAAAATAGAAATTTCTGTGAAATACTTTCAAAATGCTACTCCTCCTACAGTTTTTATCTGATTTCAATATTACTTGGCACACAAGTAGACTATAATAAGATACATAATTCTGTGTATCGGTTTTTGATTTCAATGAACGGTGTTGTCATGGTTACTAAAAATAGAAATTTCTGTGAAATACTTTCAAAATGCTACTCCTCTTACAGTTTTGGTCTGATTTCAGTATAACTTGGCAAGCAAGTAGACTACACTAAGATACATAATTCTTTATATTGATTTTCTGATTTTGATGAACATTGTTTCCATGGTTACTAAAAATAGAAATTTCCTTGAAATAACTTCAAAATGCTACCCCTACAGTTTTGGTCTGATTTTAGTATTACTTAGCTCACAAGTAAACTACACTAAGATACATTATTCTCTGTACCAGTTTCGGATTTTGATGAACAGTGTTGCCATGGTTACTAAAAATAGAAATTTCCTTGAAATACCTTCAAAATGCTACTCCTCCTACAGTTTTGGTCTAATTTTAGTATAACTTAGCACACAATTAGACTACACTAAGATACATAATTCTCTGTACCAGTTTTGGATTTCAATGAACGGTGTTGCCATGGTTACTAAAAGTAGAAATTTCTTGAAATATTTTAAAAACGCTACTCCTCCTACATTTTTTGTCTGATTTCAGTATAACTTGGCATACAAGTAGACTACAGAGATACATAATTGGTGTTATTGTTTTTTGATTTTTGTTGAATGATGTTGCCATGGTTACTTAAATCAAAATTTCTGTAAAATTGTTTTAAAAGGCTACTCCTCCTACAGTTTTAGTCTGATATAATAATAAATCTTGCCACAAAAGAGACTAAACCAAGGATCATTATTCTGTTTATTGCTGTTGCAAAGTTTCAAGTCAAAGTGCTACTTTTATCTTCCTTTATAAATACAACCAGTAGAGCTACAGTCTCATCACAGACTTCTGGTTCTTTGATTATAATAGTATAGGGGTTTTGACTGACTCTTTTTTTAACACTCTGATTTGGATTAAAAAAAATCACTTACTTGTACAGGCAATTGGCAAAGGGAATTGTGCAAAAAAAATGTTACCTGAAGAGCAATATATGGTTTTTTTCTCTCTGTAAATACATTTATTTCATTTTTAAACAGATAGTAAACATGTCCTCACTATATTCAGCTGTTGAAGTCATCTTTTGTTCATTCCTTGTAAATGGTTTCACAGAAAATTACTTATGCACAATAAAGAGGCATTTTGCTACAATATTAAAAAATTCTCAGTACATTGTACCTACTTTTTTTTGTCAAATGATCTCATGTGAACTATTGTATAATTTGTTATGTTGTCTCACTGTGGTAAACTTACATGAAAGTGTTTACTAGTATATATACAAGATGTGTATCATTGTGCAAAATTGATTTGTTAGAAATATTGTAAATTCTAATTATTATTTATTTGTTTTTATTCCTGGTGAAAAATTTGGTTGATTTTTTTCCCCCTTCAATCATAATCTCAGTCACAAACAGATATATGAATTCCATAGAACAGAGGCATATTAACTTTGTAAATATAAGATTAAAACGAAAAATTCAAATTTGGTTCTTTTCTCTTTTTTTTTAACAATACTAGAGACTTTATTGTAATAAGTAGATATAGATTATAAATACAATTTTGTCATAGTTTAAATACCTTTGAATGCCTTTACGTCTGTTTATTTCTTTTATTCTCAGTGAACAGATGTATTTTCAGTGACCATAGGATGCTATAATTATTGATATGGTGAATGGATGCCAAAATTCATGTTACTTTATTCTGTGCCATTGTTGATTATCATTTCCATGCATTGTGTGTTACTTTATTTACATTATATTTGGTCTTTGACTGTATTTTCTACACAATAAAGATTTTACTGAAATTATTTTTGTCATAATCTTTCTTATTAGGAGGAGAAAATTAAACAGTTCTACAACTTTCACTTCATTAAAATTTGCTGATGCCCTCAGTGTCAGTTCATGTACCGACCCTCGCTACACATATTGTCGTCCATCGGTACATGTTGACATCGGTGCCGAGACAAGCCTTGTATGTGCCAAAACAAGCCTTTTACTCCAGGCGACAAAATGTACCCTATACATATTGTTTTCAAAGACAAAAGATCTTGCGAATCGGCTGCGCCTCGGTTGACAATGGTTTTCTTGGGGTGAAAATTTTCAATGTTACTCTCAACTACATGCAATATTTATATAATATGTGCCAGATGAAATAGGGATGGAGCTCAGATTGCATTTTAATGCATTTCTACACAAATTAAGACATGTTTTTCCTTGTTTTGATATATATATTTTTTAATTTTTGCTACTCCTTCTACAGTTTGAATCGAACTTCATGACACTTGGGCAAAGAAAACATAAATAAAAGCAGAATACTCCAAACAATATCTTATTCAATATAAATGTATTTCACCTTTTATTACTTTGCCATTACAGTGTGATTTTCATTCAGTTTGTTATTTCAAATGAAGGAAAATAATTTTTTTTTCTGGAGGTGTCGTATTTGTGTCATCTATAAAATTGTCATGTATCAGAATTTATTAAATAAATGATCCCGCAATGACATAAGGATAGTAAATATACCAATTGGGCACACTACAATGTGTAGATTAATACATATCAAAACCTAACCTGCTGAGTACTAGTACACTTTACCACTAAAAAACTGCAGATAAATACACACTTAGCAAACAACCGTGAAGTTCCTGCTTTGTAATCTGAAACTACAAATATTTGCAGGAGTAGATATTCACTATGCCATTTTTTCCCGCGACCAGAATTTGACCAGAACTGTCGTATGCAATATTCATTGGTCTTTCGAGATAATCTTTCTTTGTTGAATGCTTCAGTATAACTTTAAATCTCGGGCTGAGAATGGTGATCGCTCCTTTCTGTTGGTCAGCGATGAAGACGTTGTCATGGATATCAACACAAACGCCCCCTGGTATCCAATCTCTGGTGGATTCACTTTTGGCTTGATATTCGTGGAGAGATTGTCCATTCTTTGCGATCAAGAAAACAGAGTTTGTCCCCCAGTCCGACGCAATGATCTCACCCTTGCTGTTGCAACAAATGAAGGCTAAGTTTCTTCTGCGGGTTCTCCGGACTGCTCTTGGTATTCCGATGCTACTTATGACGTCACCAGTTTTGTCAAAGATGTAGACTTCGTGCAAGCTGCTATCAGCGACTGCAAAATTCATATTTTCATAAACGCAAGTAGGATAAGTACTGCTGGTCCCATCCATGGCAACCTTGCGATTGTAGTCAGGCGAAAAAAAGGAAATGGAAAAGTTGTCACTACATATGACAGTGTCTTCACAAATTGAAACGCTGTATGACTTGACTCTTGCCAGTGTCTCAAGGAATTTTCCTGTTGGGTTGAATTTCTTTATTTTTCTGTTGGCGTTGTCGCCAACGAGAAAGAACCCCTCCGTGGAAGCAAGGCTGCTGATTTTTGGACAAGTTTCATCTTCGTTGGTGAATGTATTGATTTTCTTTACCATTAACAACTGGGAAACTTGTGGCACTCCACTCACATCTGAATTCTCTTGAGGCAGAAGGGGAACAGCGTTTGAGGGTCCCGGCAGGAAATCAAAGAATCGAATCGTTTCGACGTTTCCAAATATGTTGCGAAGACGGACTTCTGGGAACTGACAGGTTATTTCATCGCGCAGTCGTGGAAGATGTTCCAAGCTGTGAAGCCTTTGTAGAATAAGAGGTTCTAGATATATTACCTCGTCATTCTTTCCATCTTGAGCCACTTCGTTGCAAAAATCACAGCTTTCTTGAATCTTTTCCTTTCGCGCTTGTACTAGATCCAATTGATCTCTGCAAATCTGTCGCTGCTTTTCCATATGTTCTTTAACTTTCTGAGTGACGTCAGCCTTCTCGGTTTCAATTTGAGCTATGAGCTGCATCGTTGAATTCTCCAGATGTACAAGAATATTTTCTTCTTTTTCATTAATCGTCGCTTCTGTGTTGTGCACACCGTCTTCGATTTCATTAAGGTTTCGTAGCTTTGTGTCCAAGAATTGTATGGACGTAACTATTTCCTGACGTTGGTCCGTATCAGCCTCGTCTACGGCGACCGTGTGGTGACTGTAGTGGTACGATAGTTGACACTCGTGGCAAACGAGAAAATTACAATCATAGCAGTATATGATCAGCATCTCGTCAGGATGGGATTCACATGGTATTCTGTTTAGTTGTCTAATAGCCTTATCATGAACACCTTTCACGACGCTTTCGAGGTCCGCTACCTTATGATTGATAGTTTGGCGGGTTGCAGAGTGAGAATTACTGCAGTCAATACACAGAAGGTCGCCGCAGTTCAAGCATTTTGAAGTGGCAGAATTTTTCTTTTTCCGTAAAGAGCAGATATCGCAAATCTTCCCCTTGCCTTCGTGCGAGTTTAGGACGCCCAGTATTCCATTCAAGAAAACATTGTCTTGAAATCCGTCTACTCCTCCAATAGGAATGACGGTCTTTTCCTCGCATTTTGGGCAAGGAAACCTGTCCTTCGATTTGTTACTATCGAGAACGGCCTGTAAGCATTTTGAACATGCAGAGTGCAGACATGGAAGGATTTTTGGTCGTTGTAAGAGCTTTTTGCACACTATACATGTCAATGAGTCTTTGGGTTCCTCCACAACTTTTCCAGACATAGCTGGATATTTGCAACACAGTAGTGAAATCTTGCTACACTAGCAATATACTACCTTCATACATCGCTGTTGATTAGAGGTATTGATAGGGTGCTGGACATTTAAAACGGTGGTGGAAAGCTTACATTGCGATACAATTTTTATTTAAACAAAGCGTGAAATAGATAAGCTTTCATAGTATATATTTACTACCTGTAAAATTGAAGGTACGACAGAGCATTCGTGAAAATGTGACCATAAATTACGATTAATAATTTTGGATCTTAGATTTGAAAGTATTTTCTGACTAAATTACAACTAAGCTCCATTAAGGCATGGATATTTTTGTGGGAAAGAATGTTAATTCTATGTATATGATAATGTGTTTGGTAAAGGATCCTTAATGCACAGCATAGATGCTTAACAATGTCTTAAGATAAGTATTCGAAAGACATTCCCATTCATTTCACTCCAAACTTTTTACTTTGAAGGTTCATACTGAGTTTAATTTGAAATCAGTTAGGTAATTCTTCTACCACCTATATCATGATAAATGAAATACTAATCATCAAACATCACTATCATCATTTCTTGCAAAATAATAAAAACAGCATTAAATAAAAATGTTTTTTTTTTTCGGAGAATTAGTTGAACTATCGTAGATAAAGAGCATGTATTTTGAGAGCATGTTTTTTTTCTTAAAAAATACTGTTTACAACTCTCACACCAATAGCTTATTTATGAAGTAATATTTCACTATAACCTGGATATGGTATTAGTCTCCCAACTGATTCAATAACATCCTCATTTTAAAACAAGGCAGGGTACTGACAAATAAGTTGACGTTACAGGGATGTCAACAAACTCGTTTAAAGTATTTCTCATATTCTTTAATCGCTATAATGACATTGTTTGCAAAATACATGTATAACCTATCGTTTGCGTCGTATTTTTTTTGACATGTTTCTTACCAATTGTTAGGTTATTGTTTTTTTTATACTTTTTTATACAGGGGATGCTTACTCCTCGTAGGCACCTGATTCCACCACTGGCGTTTTCAGGGGTCCGTGTTTTTGTCCCGTTCACGATTTGTGCAGGTTACAGGATTTATGAGATTGATTACTGTTCGTTTTCTTCACCTTTTAAATGTTTTTTTATGGAGGTACTTGTGTTTATAATCTTTACTGTTTCTTGAAAATCATGTTTGAATAAAACCAGGCGGTTGAAATATTGTTTTTGTTCGAGTTTACTGTAAAACTAATACCCCCTGTTAACATGATTTAGTTAACATATTTTAGCTTGAATTTCCTCTGCTGTCATCTATGTGTCAATATAAAGACAAATACATTACATACAATGTCAACTCTAGGGCATCATTTTTCATTAATAAACAAACTATATACCAAGTGTCTGCTACAGAGCCGTTCTCTTTCGGCCAAATCTCACACTTTCAATGTTCAAATTAATTAATACCAAAATTCCTGTAACTAGTTATAAGGTTTTTTTTTTAATTTTTGCTGAATAACACCGTGTTTATCTACAATGGTACATATAATAACCAATAAAAAACAAAACAAAACAAACAGACAAACGAAATAGTTCATATTCTTAATTGTCATTTTATGGTATTCGTTGAAGAGTCTTTGCACTCAGGTTAAATAAAGTTAAGCTAATATGAATCTTAAAATTAGACTTGTATACTCACCATTGTGCCACCATATTATAATTAAAGTTGAACCTATATCAGTAACCGCTGATATAAATGGGTACAAGCTGAGGGAATAAGAATCATAAGGTTGTGTGCTTAAAAGATACAATTGTTCGAAATAATCAGTGTTTCCTTAATTACTGTTAAATAGAATCGATAGGCAAAAGGTCAAATGATTGCACTTGTAAAAAAAAAATAACGTTATTAAGCAATTTAGTGGATGTCATAGCTATTTCTACACAGATAACCAAATCTCTTCATTTCTTGTAGATTTTATTTAAATGACAGGCACATTAAATTTTATCAACAAGTAGCAAATAAAAGCTCTAAATCGAAAAATTCCAGCACCACTATAAACGAGTGTAATGGGTGTCATTGCTGTTTTAAACCAAGTCCAAACTTTTACTGCAATCTTGTACACGTTAGTAAATAAATAAGTTTGAAAAGAACTGGTAAAATAGCATAATTATATCCCTTTGAAAAAATTCCTTTCTGCAAAATAAGAGTTTGGAAAAATGTGCTTAGAATCAGGACACAATGTATCATTCTACTCAAATAATCTTTCAAACAGATATAGGTAAATATATTTTCATCAAGCTATGGACTAGAAGGAATGGTCCAGTATTCAAATGATATTGTCCCGGTTTAATGTTGTGAGTACACAGATCTGTGTGGATTGGCATGGTAACCATTTTCAACAGTATTCAATGTTTCTTGTTGTGACTATGCATCCAAAATCTATGGAATCCGGATATGGCCACGCAAATCACTAACACAATCGAGTATCGACTTTTGGGTCGATGACGCGATGACGATGACGTGATAGTGCGATGACGATGATGCTATGACACGATGATGCGATGACGATGGTGCGATAGAACTATGAAGAGGTAGTGAATATCGCTTCATCGTCATCGTACCATTGCTCTCTCGTCATCGTCGCGTCATCGCGCTATCGCTTTATCGTGCCGTCGCACCACCATTTTTGCATTGAGCGCCCTCACAATTTTTTTCCGAATCAAAAGCATCAAAACTTACAATTTTTCAACACTTTATACAACAATTCCTAGCGATATATTAAAGACCCTGCCAGGCTTTATGATATCATAGAAAACCTTCCTCAATAAAAAAAAAAACAAAAACAAAAAACTCGAGAATGTTCATATCTTGTGGTTGGTCGTCCACAAAATTACTTTGTTAAAAAACATTCTGATTCTACATAAAGTACTTTGAAGTTGATATCAAAAAGATGCGACCAGCTCTTCCAACAGTTTATTGGAATTTTCATGGTTACTAATTATGCTCCTTTATAAGCCGACCTGTTTTTGTATTTTTCTGAAACAGACTTCCACATGAAAAGAAGAAGTCTCTTGTTTTAGCCTTTAATTCGACATTTAGATATAACAACGAAGTTTTGTCAAATAATAATATTCTTTTCATTCTTATGCCAACACCATATATCTCACTGAACTCGAAATAAGATGCCACAGAGTCTGACGCATCTGTTTCATGTTTAGATATTTTAATGAAGAGAGATATTGGCGGTTAAACTAACTATCAAACACAATGATTTCAACTTTTCTATCGTCAACCTCAATTATTTATAGCAATTCAGTGTGAAATAATGGCCTAACAATTTCTATGAAAGACGTCAGTCAACATTCGAATTACTGACCCTGTACTAGTATGGTATCGACCATAGAACTTGCGACGTGTTGACTCTAAATCAAATTGTTGATATCCTTGTATCGTCAGCTTATTTGCAATAACCTGCCTCGTGTTAGAAATTGTTCGTATCAACTGGGAGACATCAACTCCATATGCAGGTCATAATTGTATATTGCTACATGAATAACGGGAGTTGACGATAGAAAAAGTTGAAGACTTCACGTTTGTTATGAAGTCTATTTTTTAGATTGCCATCAATGTCTTTCTCTGGTAAAATATCCAAATATGAAACAGATGTGTCAGACTCTGTGGTGTCATTTATTTTGAGTTCAAATGGATATATCGAATCAACGTAGGAATAAAACTAAATATTGTAAATTGATGAAAAGTTGTCGATATATCCATAATCACAGAAACCAACCTGTATTCCGTGTTGAGGAATCCAAGGATGGACTTCCTCTAGCATTTTCATATAAATATAATAGCTATTTCAAAATATATATATATATTGATGACCTTACATAATTTTAATACCAGTAATATATAAGGAAACTGATGCTATTAATAATTTAAGTTCCATTCATTCTGTGTTTTTGTAATATTAGATTGAAATTGGTAAAGTTTAGAAAATTCACATTGAAAATTCGGACTAGAATATTTAAACTCTAATTGTTTATTTTATTTAGCAACACTTTCCTTATTTTCATTATATTTTATGAAATGAAGATTTAATTACTTGTTATATTTTGCTTTGAAAGAAAAATTAGGTCATAGTGCAAATTGTACGTTTTTTTAAAGAAATACTCAGAAGCCACTAGCATGAAAAGAAGGTCACTGACTTACTTATTTGACATTGAAAAAAACACCACCATCATAGAATTGCAATGTGTAATAGGTGCTTTTTTATTCCCATTTGTGAAATTTTTTGGCCATCTGGGTAAATTTCTTTCTTAAATAAAAATTTACTTTACCCTTTCGCCTTTAGGACAGCCTTTTTAGAATTGTAATATTTTTAAAGTATTATGATTCTTCATTTTATACTTTTTCAAATGGATATTATGACGTAAATATTCCAGAATTCTACTCCCGAAATGAAATTGCTAAAATGTGATAAACTTCGAAACATCCATTCCTCGGTTAGCAATTAGTATTTGATACCCTAAGCTTATATTCCTGAATATTGACTTTAAATGAGACTGTGGATATCCTTGTATCATCATCTTATTTGTCAATAGTTTGCCTCATTTAAGAAATTGTTCTTACGTAGAACATGCACTTGCAATCCGAATCAGCTGAGAGACATAAACTCCATACACAGGTGATTGTGGTATATTGCTAAACAAATAAGTGAAGTTGACGATATGATATGAAGTCATCACGTTTTTTCATAAAGTTTAGTTGTTAGTTTGCTTTTAATGTCTTTCTCTAATAAAATATCCAAATATGAAACAGATGTGTCAGACTCAGTGGTTTCTATTTTTTTTTTTTAGTTCAAATGGATACATTGAATCAAGTAGGAATAAAAATGAACATTGTTAATTTATAAAACGTCGCAGATAACTCTAAATGTCAAATTGAAGACCACAACATGAGTCTTTTTCTTTTCATGTAGAAGTTTTTTGAATTAATTCTGCTTCAGTGAAAAATATTTTAGAAGTAGATGAGTTTTTTTTCAAAAAAATTCAGTTTGGTGGTCATCATATTTCAAATTTTAAAAAAAGTTTCTTGGAGATTTTAAGTATCCACATCTGATAACACCACTTCTCGAATATGTTGTTGTACAGTATTCCTTAAATT